GCCCTGCTGAAGGCCTGCACGGGCGAGTTCTCCCTGGAGTCCATCCTGCTGCTGCGGCTGCGGGGCCGCGGCATCGCCCGCCTGGGCTGCCTGGCCGACTGCTCCAACCTGGAGTGGCTGGACCTGTCCGGCAACGCCATCGCGGCGCTGGCCCCGCTGGCCGCCCTGCGCGCCCTGGCCGTGCTCAACCTGGCCGGCAACCGCGTGGCCAGCGTGGAGCCGCTGCGGGGCTGCCGCAGCCTGCGCCAGCTCAACCTGGCCGGCAACCGGCTGCGCAGCCTGCGCCAGCTGCGCTGCCTGCAGGGCCTGCGCCACCTCGAGAGCCTGCGCCTGCGGGACCCGCTGGCCCGCCTGGGCAACCCGCTGTGCGCCGCGCCCGCCTACCGCGCCGCGCTGGCCGCCATGCTGCCCGGCCTCAAGGCCATCGACGGGCAGCGCGTGGCCGGCCGCGGCAGCGAGCTCTTCCGCCTGTGCCGCGAGCTGGACGCCGCGCTGGACGGCGGCGGGGCCGCCGCGGCCGAGGGGCCGGCGGAGGAGCCCCCCCGGGGCCGCACCCAGCCCTGGGTGCAGGCCGGGTTCTGGGAGCCGCGGGCGCCGCGCCCCAGCGCCGTGCTGGAGGAGGCCACGCGGCAGCTGGGGGAGGCCCTGCGGGAGTGCCGCGAGCTCGGCCGGCGCGCAGACGACTCCATCGCCCAGGCGCAGAGAGCGCTCGGCCGCCGGCACGCCGGAAACTACGGCTTCTGAGCCGCCGCGGGGACGGGGGGCACGATGGGGGTGGAGGGGCTGCAAATGGGGCCGGGGGGGCTCCAAATGGGGCCGGGGGGCACCCAGAGACACCACAGCCAACACTGGGACTGGGAAACCACCAGAGACACCACAGCCAGGAGCCCTCGAGTTCTGAGCTGGGGGACTCCGTATAGGGTTGGGGGCTTCCAAATGGGGGGGGGGCTCCAAATGGGGCTGGAGGGCACCCAGAGACACCACAGCCAACAACAGGACTGGGAAACCACCAGAGACACCGCAGCCAACACCGGGACTGGGAAACCACCAGAGACAGCACAGCCAGGAGCCCTCGAGTTCTGAGCTGGGGTGGGCTGAAACAGGGCTGAGGGGCTCCCAAAATGGGGCTCAGGGGGCACCAAACGGGGCTGGGGGACTTTAAATTGGGTTGGGGGGGCTCCAAATGGGGCCGGGGGGCACCCGGAGACACCGCAGCCAACACCGGGACTGGGAAACCACCAGAGACACCGCAGCCAGGAGCCCTCGAGTTCTGAGCTGGGGGACTCCATATGGGGTTGGGGGCTTCCAAATGGGGCCGGGGGGGGTCCCAAAATGGGGCTGGGAGGGCGCCAGATGGGGCCAGGGGGGCACCCAGAGACAACACGGC